GTGACTGGCTTCAGTTAGCTTTCTTGGTTGTTGTTGTTGTTTCATTTTTTTTTAAGTTTTGTTGTTTATTCTATACAGGGTCTCATTATTTGTCGTGGTTGTACTCTGTATGTAGAGCAGGCTGGCCTCAAACTCCCAGAAATCTGCCTGCCTCTACCTCCTAAGTGCTGGGATTAAAAGTATGCACCATCCAGGCTCCAAAGCCACAGAGAAACCCTGTCTCAAAAAAAAAAAAAAGTATGCACCATCATCACCCGGCTCAGTTAGTTTTCTTATACAGCCCAGGACTACTTGCCCAGGGACTGGCATTGTCCTCGGTGGACTGGTCCTTTCTACATCAATTAGAAATCAAGAAACCCACACACACAGGCCAATGAGATGGGGTCAGTTCCTCGACCGAGGCTCTCTCTTCCCAAGTGTGTCAAGTTGATGAAGAAGATCACCCATCACACTCCCTACTTAATCTCAGACTGGCACCGTAGTTACTATTAGTCCTTGTAGCCAAGGACTAGCGCTCTAAAATCATTTTGTAGTGTTCATTTCTCCTTTTTAAACTTTCTTTGCCTCGGCTTCCTGCAGTATGCTCCGACGTGACTATAGCATATCTAGGGAGAATACTTTTGGAGATTCTTTGATTTTTCTTTTCGGTAGAGAGCTTAGACTTCAGAGCCAAACTGGGGGAATTAGTATTTCTTTGGACTCACACTGGGCCTCATGCCATTTTGTAACTGTTTCTTTCTCATGCTTTCCCTGCAGATCAGAGTGCCCAGTTCACCCTGTGAGGAGTTGCATGGGTGTGCTCATGGCATCTTCAATGCCCTCCACCTTCCAATCAGAGTCTAGGTTCAGACTCTCAAGACAGAGTGAGCAGTTCAGCTCAAAGGCCAGCCGACCGTTGAAGGCTTCACAGTGGCTCTGCAAATGGGATCATGAACATCTCTTGTTTTGGGGCTTGTCAGCATATTTGTCAGTATATGTAAAGGTATGGGTTCCTCTCATCCCAGTTAGCAGAGAGGGTCAAGGTGTCCATTTCCTCACCACTTGAACCTGTGCAGACATTGTGACATTAACAGAGCAGAGGAGTGAGGCATTGGGGGCTTCTCAGCAGCACCTTTGAAAACAGAAGTTCTTGCTCCTCCTTCTAGGAAGTCAGTGGCATCTCTGAGATCTAAGAAAAGTATGATTCAGGGCTGGAAAGATGGCTCAGCAGTTAAGAGCACTGGTTGCTCCTCCAGAGGGCCTGGATTTAATTTCCAGCTCCCACATGGCAGCTCACAACTGTCTGTAACTGTAGTTCCATGGGATCTGTGATTCTTTTCTGGTGGGCAGACACACAATGAAGATTTAATAAAAAACATATATGGGGCTGGAGAGATGGCTCAGAGGTTAAGAGCACTGACTCCTCTTTCAGAGGATCTGGGTTCAATTCCCAGCACCCACATGGCAGCTCACAACTGTCTGTAACTCCAGTCCCAGGGAATCTGACACCTTTACACCAACGCACATGAAGTAAAGTTGAATAAATTATAAAAAAACATATATATATATAAATGTATATAATAAGGAATAAAGTAAGGAAAAAGAGAGAAAAAAGAAAGAAAGAGGGAAGGAAGGGAAGGAGGGAGGAAGGAAGGACAGAAGGAAGGAAAGAAAAATAAAATTCAGGCTAGATGACTGAATCTAGCGATGTAGAGAGGCTACATGCAGGAGAGACCCTGTAGGGAGAGAGCTCATTTAGAATGCTCCACCTTCAGACATGAACGGCTGAAAACAGTGACATGAATTTTAGCCTGTCAACCTCAATGGCATGATAAATGACCACTACCCTTAAAGTCACTTACGTCTTCCGAAAGATGACAGAAACATGGACTAAAAACACCGTGTTTCTAATGTGATATATTAGTGATTCCCAAAGAGTTTCTCTCAGGCTCCCCAGAGATGTGCATCTCTGAGGCTGGGCTAGAGCGATGCTCTGTTTCTGGACTTGGCCGTGGGAATGGGAAGTGGTAATAACTAGTAGCCAACTGTCTTTGAAAACCAAAGGCCTTCCTCTTGGCCGCTGTCTTGACAGAATTTTTTTATTTTTATTATTTTTTTATTATTATTATTTTTTTTTTTTGTCTCTGGAAGGGTAGTCAGAGACCACTCTCCACCATCTACATATGTTTTCAGTAATCAGTGCAAAGAATCAAAACCTCCTGGTTTGTCCTAACTATGGTCCTAGCTTGGAATAGGGTTAGGCCAATGGGATTTAGCAGGATGGTACCACTGGGCTATAAAGGCCTCTGTTACAAATGGGTCCCTGGTCCACCAACCTTAGGACCTTAGTCCTGCAGAATGACAGCCACGCTCTCCTTGAATATAAGGCTGTAGTTGTGACCATATTTCTCTTGTCTATCCCCAGAGTGAGCTCTACAGTTGCTGTGTGCCTCCATATCTCTGGGCTCTGTGGAAGGACCCCTTTCTGGGTCCCTAAGTGGTCAAGTGTGGCCAAAAGGGCCCGATCTCTATGATTCAGGGGAGCCTCTGAGGAGAGAGGGGAGCTCTATGCCTCAGGTAGAGGCAACGCAGGTCCACTGGATTGTGCCTGTGTGTGTGTGGGGGGGGGGGTATTTGCTAGTTTCAAGGCAAAATTCTCGTGTATCCCAGGCTAGCCTTGACCTTGTTATATAGCCAAGGATGACCTTAAACTTCTAATCCTCCTGATCCACCTCCCAAGGGCTGGGGTTTCAAGACGGCCACTATATCCAGTTTGTATGGCACCGGAAATGGAGCCCAGGGTTTCGTGCATGCTGAGCAAGCTATTCCAACTGAGCCACATCTAAGAGAGCTCTGTCAGGAAAGTCAGTAGGAGCCTGAAGACCCTTCACGGAAGGCCTTCTGTGATGGCTCTTCTTGGTTTGGACTTGACTACATCCAGAGTTAACTAAAACCCCAACATTGAGGACCCACCTGTGAGGAGTGGGAATTAATTTGAAGTGGGAAGATCTGCCTCTAATCTGGATCTCTGAGCAGGAAGACACATCTCTATTCCAGATCTTTAACCCAGAGCTAACCTAGGCCATGACTTCTGTAGCCCATGTAAGGACATGGAAGAGGGAAGTTTGTGCTGTTCTCTGCTTGCTCTCACCTCGCTAGCAAGACCATTCCTTCACTGGCATTAGTGCCTACTTCTTCAGGATTCCAATGTCTGCTAAGGAGCAGATGAGACATCCAGCCTCATGGGCTGAGCAAATCCTGGATTCTTGGACCTTCTGTTCACAGGCACCCATTGTTGAACTAGCTGGGCTACAGTTTGTCAATCATCCTAATGAACTCCATGTCTATACATATATGTAAGGAGATTCATTCTATCTGTTCTGCTACTCCAGAGAACCCTGATTAATATGCCTTTCCTACCAAGAACTGTTGCTGGAAAGTTATATTCCTGAAGCCACCAACCCACAGCCACCATATGGCCTGCCATGAAAACTCAGTCTCAGGAATTAGAGACGGCCAAACAAATTAAAAAGAGAGGGTCAGGAGAGTGGCTGCAGTCTTCCATAGCTTCAAGATGAGGTTGGGGCACATCAAAGCAAGAAGGAAGCTACCCCAGCCTAAGAAAGATCCCTCCCAAAGTAGACATTGCCACTTCCAGAGAGGCAGGAATCCTGAAACCTTGGCTCGGGGTGCCAAAGGAATGAAGAAAGGACAGACATATAGATACCCAAACAATGAAGCTGGGATCATGTGGAGTTCTCTGCCTGCCACAGCTGGGAACCTTCGCATGTTTATCATGTACAGCACAAGAGGGAGGGATTGCACAGTCTGGGTAAGAGGTCTTTGTCGGTAAGCAGCCTTAGGTTGTAAACATCTGGGAGGAAGCCACAGCTGCCTATCTTTACAGATTCCGATTCATCATTCATAAACAGTCTGTGTTAGTCAGGGGTCTCTATAGTCACAGAACTTATGAAATGACTCTCTCTTGCTTGCTCTTGAGCAGCTATGATGCAACACCTAGGAGTCCAGAAAGGCTTGATAAGCCAGAAAGTTGCAGAATAGGGCACAGAAGAGATGCAGGAAGTAGCCACACAGCTCTGGAAGCAAAGCTCCACCAGCTGTCGTGTAGACCGACTGTCCCCAGGTGCTGTGGAACGCTGTCCTCTCAGCACGGCAGCCTTCACCAGAGCGGCTGTGGCTGTAGACAAGGCCCCTCAAGACTGAGCCCAGTGATGTCCCCCTCCTTCATCTGGGAGCACAGCCACTCCTATACTTCTTTCCTGGCTGTATTCTGACCAAGGTGCACTTAGTCCCCTGATTCCTGACAATACTAGAAAGGGTTGTTCTCAACCCGTGGCTCATGACCCTTTCATAGGGGCCACCTAAGGCCATCCGAATATCAGATATTTAATTACAGTTTATAACAGCAGCAGTAGGACTCGCCACAGCACGAGGAACTGTATTAAAGAGCCGTGCATTAGGAAGGCTGAGAACTAGAGTCTATACAGTGTGGAAGAACTGGAGCCTGGGTTGGGGGGTGGGGTTCTATGCAGCTATGGTGAAGTCATTATCCAAACTGGGGTGAGACTTTGATGATGGAGCTGTTTGGAGGTCTCATAATCTTGTAAATAACCATTTATCCATTCCGCAAACCCAATAAAATCATTGGTTCATCAAGTTGGACCTTAATAAAATCATTCCTCTGGTGCATCATTAGTGCCCTGTCTTATATCCCAAAGAAAAGCTCACGTAACATCAGGGCTGGATCACCCTGAAGATACTATTCAAGGGTAGGCATCCAGGTGTGAGAAGAGATACGACACACCAGGACCAGCTGTGTCCATCAACATGTAATTTATTTCCTTTTGTCTCTTTGGCTCCTTTGATAACATTAACAGAACTCTGGCTGAGCACCCAGTTGTAAGACCCTTACTCAGGACAGCGGCTGACTGGGTGGCCAGCTACTTGGATAGGGTGGGAGGAGGCAAAGACTGGAGTACTCTGTGTACCTTACAGGGGTCTCATGGGGAGTAACTGGAGCTCCTTTCAATGGGCTCATTGGTAAAGTCCTCCAACTCATATTCAGGCAGGCTAGTGGAAGTTTGCTCACTCTCGGAGAAATCTTTGATTTCATCTTCCTCACTTCCTCTGTTGTCCTCCTCCTCTTCACTGTCCTCTTCCTCTTCGGCATTTACTATTTCCTTGGATCTGGAGCCCACACCAGCATTGGAGATCACAGACAGCTTGGGCTCTGAAGGACTCCTGGGCATCTGCTCCTGGCCTATACCAGGGTCCTGAGGGCTAAGAACCTGGTGGATCGGCATCTCAGGACGGAGGGAGAAGGGAGACTCTGTACTCTGGTCCTGGTTGGTGTCACCAGTAAGTTCGGGGTGCACAGAAGGTGATTCTGTGCTACGGTGGGTAGTGCCAACACGGGAGGTACTATGTTGGGAGGCTGCTGGCCTAGTAGTGTGCTTTACGGCCTGCCTTGCCAACTCGGCTTCTTCCATCTTACGCAGAAGGCAGGTCCAGTTGATGTCTGAGGACAGACGGATGTGGTTGCCCTTCACCTTCTTGAAGCCCAGAAGGATGTCCATGAGAACCTCAGTGACAGGAAAGGAGATGAATCCAAGTTGCTTATGGAGGCTGTCCTCAAACTTGTACTTACAGACAAGCAAGGAAACTGCCTGCTCAACCAAGAAGTTAGTGAGTTCCTCAAACCAGGGGTTAGAGATGTAGGACATGCTGGACACAGATGAGATGGACGGCAGAGGCTTCTTCCTTGGAAGCTTCGTGCTGGGGCTCTGTGCAACAGGGAAAGAGGGAAAAGGAGACATTTAGCCCTCGCTGCCCTGTGAGAGCACATTGCCATGCCCTCCTTGGCAGCTGTACCAGTCCTCCCCATTATCGACAGGGAAGCCACACACATCACACTAGGATACAGACTGCCACACCGGCTCTCCCACGACATTCATTCCACACACCTCACCTGTCAGGTCTAGAGGAATGCCCGCCAGCCTGGGCAGCCTGCGTTCCTGCAAGCTTGTGTGTAGAAGGAATTACATATGAACCCTGATGATGATGGGTTGAGAGATGTCCAGGACCTCCAAAGGTCAGGCCACCTACGTCTTCATACACATTTCCTGACCAATGTCCCCTTTACTGAGCAGAAAGACTAGACTCCTACAGCTGGATTAGGATAGCTTGAGCTAGCTCGACCCTAGAATAGAGAGTGGTGCTCTTGGCAAAGACTCCTATCCTTAGGAAACCTGTGGGAGGGTCCGTGAGATTCACAGAGCCAGGCGTGGTGGCGCACGCCTTTAATCCCAGCACTCCAGAGGCAGGAGGATCTCTGTGAGTTCGAGGCCAGCCTGGTCTACAAGAGCTAGTTCCAGGACAGAATCTAAAGCTACAGAGAAAGCCTGTCTCAAAAAAAAAAAAAAAAAAAAAAAAA